GGGGGAGATGCCGGGAGGCTGCCGAAATTTCGAGTGAACGCCAAACTACACTTTGACCTAATTGAACACATTTGAACAACAGAGGACTTTGGCATCAAATTTGAACCCGAATATGCAATGAATTTAAATAAACTAAATCCAAGCTTAAACCAAATAAATTCAAAGTTGTATGAAATGATGAAAACTTGTAAGCTTGAACTTGTGTTTTGAACTCGGACTTGAACTCAATGAACTCACATTGGACTTGGGTTAGAACGTGATCTTGAATTAAAATGAACTAAGTACTGTGGACATAAACTCAACTTATACTCGAACTTGGACTCTACAAGATCATAGGGGACTTTGATTTGGGACTTGAACTTGAACAATTTGAGCAAGAACTTGAGCTTGCTAGTTGAACATTTGGACACAAAATGATTAACAAAATACTTGAATCTAAATGAAATATGTTCAGACTTAAATTTGATTGGAATATTAAGTGAATATAACAGAAATCTTTTGGGCTCTAACCCCAAACGAACAAGGAACTTATATTGAAACTTCGTCGGACTTGAGCAAATTATGAATGACATGAACATGATTGAATCAAGTAAGAATCATATGAATTTACAATTTGGACATCAGGAGACTCGTGATGGAGAAAGCTTCAAGCAAATGAAAGCTTCAAATGTGTATCATAATCCATACATAAACCTATAACGAGTGAAAACTAAAATACAAACAAGGACTTGTGACATGCGGCGTGAGTCATACATGAATGACGAGCAATCAATAATATACCCAAAAACTCATTTGGATGCATGCAATTAGAAGCTTGTGATGGAAATGATGACATGTTAGCCATCATATATGCTGACAAGTAAAACAAGAGAGCTGTGAAGAAAATAATCTCCTTGGCACCAAGCAATCATTAATTGACAAACACATATGACAATCTCTTGCGAATATTAAGAGACATGCGACAAATACAAGCACTACAAGCCATGTAGTAGGAGGCAATAACTGATACATCTTCCTTGCGAGCAATGTCAAAATACAAGCAAAAGTATTCAACCCTTGCAAGCAATGTTGATCAACATATGATGGATGTAGATATATGTTGGCAATGATGGAAGACTCTTTCATATGCCTACAGTGGTCCACCTACAAGTAAAAAAAAAAGAGCATCATATATGGAGAGGTTGACAATGAAATGCAACTCGCCTATGGTATATGAATACATTATTCTATTGCAAACAAAAGAGACTAATGATGCTGTGAGAGACTTCTCCCAAATTCAACATGCTCAGTGCAATATACGTGAATGTTAGGATACTCCTACGATCAACAAACAGTCTGATGCTAAGCAAATACATCAAACCACCTGCACGTAGAAGGACTTAACATGGAATGAATGTAAAGGCCCCTGAAGAATGTAGAAATTTATATGACTCTTTATTAGTATGCAAAAACTATATACCTGCTATGTGAACAAGATACCTACACTCCTACAAGTTATCATGACAGAAGATATATAGTGAATGTTACAACACTCCTACGATCAACTACCATTCAAATACTTAACAAACACATCGATTCACTGCAAGTGAAGATGAAAGATATACAACGTATGTAAGCTCCTACGAATTGTCATAGGAGACTTGTTGTATGTTCAATATATCATCCCCGACAAAATATAATCGAGTACAAGTGACTATGAGCCATCACAGAAGCTCGTGATAAATGTAGTTATTTATGATCAAGCAGGAGATTAGTTAGTGCACTATAATCTACCTGCATAAATCATGTAAGTAGTGCACGACAGTATACCTGTATAAAGCAGCGAACGATCCAGTCAAGAAGCTGCTACAACACGCCACCGGATCCACAACATCTATGCAAGCGGACAGAAGACGTCCACAAATATTTCAAAATGCCCCCGCACGTGTACCATAGTTTGTATACACATAGGTACACAAGGGGTAAGTGTTATCATAACACCCGCATGGGCCCCGACGAGAGTGTTATTGGTACACATATGATGTCTAGGGATGCTATGCGGGTTATCAAATTTGAATCCGATCCTCCTTAGAAAATAAGTAGGAGTTGACAAGGTTCAATGAATAATTATAAAATGCCCCCAAACACCCGCATGGGCCCCGACGATCATGTTATTGGTACACACGTGACGCCTAGGGATGCTTCACGGGTCGATAAGTGAATTCAAATTCGAACCTGATCCTTCTATGCGGATCAATAAAAGTCGAAATGGTTCGAACCTTCAAACAAATACACGGTTGTGGCGACCGATGTATTTGTTTAAATACATTCATATTAGGCCTTCAAGACCTATAATCAGAAGAATTCACTAATAAAAGGCACAAAGCCTATGAAACCTGATCCCCTATTGGCAGGTTGATAGGATCGACAAGGTTTAGTCAATGAATGACCTCACACTCTGATGATGTTTGTGTTGAATGTAAATTTCAACCGGAGGGGTCCATTCCAAATAATTTCAAAATGCATTCCAAACTACACCCAAATACCCACAAAATAAAAAATTCAAAATTTCAAAATCCAAAAATATTTAAAATTGAAATCCAATCATTAAACACTTAAAGCAAAATCCATCCACCCTCCGCAATAGTTTGTCGAGGTGGACAAATTTAAAACTACTTCAGCTCACAAAGAGATAAATGCCTAGTCAAAAATATCACTAGGATCCATTATCAAACAATCTCCTGCCAATAAGGACGTGGTACGTGTCCTCTAACCGGTGGTTTTGCTGCCAAATGACACCGCAGGATAAACGGTTATGACCCAGGGCCTTCTGAACAGAGTAGTTTTGCCGCCAAATGGCACCACGAAATACCGGTTATGGCCAGAACCAATACGTTCCTTAGTTGCATCAAATCCTTGAGATATGAATTAATATGATATGATCGATAGAGCACAAAGCCCTTTGTTAGCTAAGGTGGATTCAAATTTGTCCGCTTAGGCAAACATTCACCCCAGGTCTATAAGGTCCCCTTGGATGAAGCAACCCATGGCTGCCGACAAGGATCCTTCTGTCAGGTTGGGTTGACTATCTCTTCTGACTAAGTAGACCAGGGGTCACGATGGCCTGGGACGATGTAACCATGGGATCTTGATCGGGTCTATCTTCCATTCCCCACCATCCGCTTTAAGTGCAAGATGGTGCAATTTCTATTTTGAATATCAAAATCTTCAAATTCTCAACTACTTCCAACCTTTCCAAACCTTTCCAAATACCCAAATTCAAACCCAAATTCCACATCCGAATCTATGCTGCTACTATATGCCAGATACTACGTATATCTACATATCTAATTGACGACTAGCCTTAATCGAAAGTTCTCTCTCGTTATCGGGAGGGGTAATTAACTATAGGGGTTTGCGCCAATAGGAAACCAGAACTCATATTATAAAGTCCTCACAAAATGAGGGCGAAATATCTGGGTAGTGTATTATCTATAAACCCATCTTTCTTCCAAAATTTACTCCGGAACTTAGTTCGTTAAAACTTCCTCGCCAAAAGAAAAAGCAAACAATCAGCGGGCGGAGGCTGGGGCCGAATTTTCGGTGCCCACACTTTGATTATATATCCTATGTTTTGATAGTGCCAACATCCATCTAAGAGGCCTTGAGATTTGCTTATGCTATGATATGTGTATTACCTCTTATTTTGTGATTTAGATTTATTTTGGCCGTTTTAGATATCTCAGGTCTATTGTTTAAAGCGATGGTGAAATAGATGAGATATTATTAGTAGAGTTTAAGCTGGATGGTTGAAGTGAAGGAATTGATCGGGCCTGTTGTGCGATAGAAAAAACCCCTCAAACTTAGGGAAAATTTTATAAGATGGTGGTGTGACCTATAATGCTTTATGGCGTAGAATATTGCAAAAATGAGGATGCTCGGGTGGATGAGTTGCTTTACAATTAGAGATAGAATGCAAAACGAAGATATACATGAAAAAGGTTGTAGTAGCTCCGGTGGCAGATAAGATTAGAGTGAGTCGCCTTATAGATGGTTTGATCATATAAAACTTTGGCCTTCCGATGACCCAGTTAGGAGGGTAAATGTATGAGATCCAACCTATTTTAGAAAAGATAGAGGTAAACCTAAAAAGAATTTTGGCTAGAAGGTATTAGATTTAAATGAGAATTTGACTATTAATAGGATAATAGGATAATGGAAAAAAAATTACTCATGTAGCCTACCCGAAGTAGTGGGATAAAGGTTTGATGCTATTTTTATTGTTGTTGATTGTTCTTTTTATTTTGAGACCTGTTATCAATGTTCAAAGCAAAAGAAAGGATTTCACTTGCCTTGCTCCATCGAATATCTTTACTAATAATGAGGTCTTTGACATAATTTAACTTCAATTTGTTTGATCCAATGCTGATGATTGTTGCTACATCATTCCAACTTTCAGGTGGTGACAAAAGTTTACTTAAATGCCATCAAAGTTGACATCCACAAAGCTCAGCTTATGGTCGAGTTAGATAGAAAATTGTTCTTAGCATCTTAACATGAGCATCATTTTATTGTAAGCCATGATTTTGGCTTTTTTATTAGTTGATTTGACATTTCATCTCTCTTGTGGGTGTAAGCTTGTTTATATATATAGAATCATGCAATTATTCTTATATTTTAAAAAATTCTTCTTTCCCTTTTACAGTACGCAGTTCATCGCATAGCTTATGGGTTTATGCTTTAGTAGCAAAATGTTAGGCGTACTTTTTTCCTTGACTATGAAATCAAGCAAGTTTTGGTCTTTTTTTCTCATGCTTTCCCGTACGTTGATGTTTTTGTAGCATAAATCCAGGCGTTTTTTTCTTCTTCATAGCAACTTCATTGATGATCATTTGTGGGAATAACTCCTCTTTTCTAATAGAAATCATGCACAACCTTTTATTACTGATCAAGATTCACTCAAAAGAATATTAGTTTCGATATGTTCCCCCTTTTCTAATTGAAGAATTTGCTATACTAAGGTTGTGAGGTGTACAACCTGGGGACTGGCAAGGGAACTTCTGTGTTGGAAATGGTTGCAGCTTTTGAGAAGGCCTATGGAAAGGTATTTCCAATGTTATTTTCTCGAAGTGATTGTTGATACCCTATAATGAACTCCTTGTTTTTTCCTGTTGGTTTTTCTTCTGATGTTCATTCCTTGTGCAGAAAATCCCTTTAGTAATGGCTGCAAGGAGGTCCGGTGATGCAGAAATTGTTTATGCTTCAACTATGAAGGCAGAGAGGGAGTTGAATTGGAGGTGTGCAAATGAACACATTGTTTCCTCGGAGCTAAATTCCTCCATTAAACTATGTGGTTTTCTTTCTCGCAGAGCCAAGTATGGAATTGATGAGATGTGCCGTGATCAGTGGAACTGGGCAAGAAAAAATCCTTGGGGATATGGATCGCCTGAATCTGAGAGTTGAGGATGCTTTATGGCACTCGTTTTTACATAACTTTTATCTATTTGCAGCCTGTGTTAATAAAAGAAATGCTAATTTCTGGTTCTTTTTGTGTAAATGTTTTCAAAGAGGCATAAAGGAGTCCAGCCCAGTGCTTTGCTGATTGGCTGCACTATTGTAAAGGGCATCCAGCTGATGTAAGTCCAGGTACAGGCCATTGAAAAATCCTATAAGCTTAAAATAATAATTCAGATATTCTGACCATTCTTCGTGCTATCAGAGCAAAAAAGATAACCAAGCAGAGAAATCTTTTTTTTTGTTCGATTTGCTCTTCCAAACGTTTGATAGCATGGTGATTAAGCAATAGTCCTACCCAATTTACAAGCTCATAAATTATATGCTTGCATGTCCCATTTAATGCATATGAATTGTGTATGTGCGTGTTTTTTTTTTTTTTTTTTTTTAGAGCACGGGGTTATCCACCCTAAATTCTATAAGATGGTGGTGAGGCATGCAATGCTTTATGGTGCCAAATGTTGGCCATTAAAAGAGAAGCATAATAATAAGTTAAGTGTGGCAGAGATGAGGATGCTCAGGTGGATGAGTGGCTTTACCCTTAGAGATAGGATACGAAATGAGCATATACATAAAAAGGTTGGAGTAGCTCCAGTAGAAGATAAGATTAGAGAGAGTCGCCTTAGATGGTTTGGTCACAAAAAACTGGGCCTTCCGATGACCCGGTTAGGAGAGTAGAGGTATTAGATTTGATTTATGTTAAGAAAGGTAGGGGTTAACCTAAAAAGACTTGGTTAGAAAATATTATGAATGATCTTTCTTTATTAGATTTAAACGAGTATTTGACTTTTAAGGCTTGATGTTGTTGTTGTTGTACGGGGTTATCCACCCGTTGCCACTCCAAAGGGAGCGTCGGCGGTGTAACTAATCCCTCGGCGGAACTTAGCGAGGTGACCTATCGGCATTGGGCCCACACTTGCTTTCTCCCACTGAAGAAGTGAGGCCGTAGTAGGGGGGATTTGAACCCAGAATTGAGGATTCTCAACTGTGCTTGCCCACCAACCACCCTAGGCCTTGGTGGGTTTTCATATGATTTGTGATTTTTATGTGTTTTAATGCTTTATCTTCTTACTTTGTTCATTAAGAATTATAGTTTACTGCTATTTTGTTGATGCATTCTTCTGATTTCATTCAGAAATGGTAATATGATTTTTTATTGCTACGAAATTTTAGGGGTGTAAATGAGTCGAGTATCCAGTTAATCGTGTTAAGCTCATTTAATTTTTATTAAGCTTGAGCTTATTTATTGAGCTTAAAGGTAGCTCGTTTTAAAATTATGAAGCTCGAGCTCATTTGATTAGTCAAATTTGATTGATATATTGATTAATGTATAAATCTTTGATGCGTAAATATCAATCGAAATTTTCTTGAATTTTTTTTTTTTTTTTCGGATTTTGTTAAAAGGTATTATAAGGCGGTTCTTCCATCAAGCATTCTTTCAAAATTTATTTATTTTTCATAATGTATTATTACATATGGTTCAAATTATTTGGATTGTCAGTGGGCCCAGTTTAAACCCGTCATTTTGGCTTGTTTATTAAACAGATTGGCTTTCAATTGAATGAATTAAGGTCGGATTAATTTTTGGTCGGACCTGAAATCAACCCTTATTTTACCAGTCAATCCAAAATCTAACAATACATTTTAACATTCAAAACAACTCAAACATGTATATTTCAACAGTCAAAAGAGCCACATAGTTTTTTTAAATATAAATAGGTTGGCAGGTCAGGTTGGGTTAAACGGGTTGCCAGCTGATTAGGTTCAATGTAGTTTGATTTAGATTTAAATGCAAACCTGACCCGAAAGCCTATTTTGACAAATATATTGATTTTATCAATCTTTTTTCTTAGAAATGATTTGGATTATGGTTGTTATGCATGGAAATTTATTTTATTAGCTTATGTTGATTTATTATAACGTCCATACGTGTGGCATTTGCAAAATAATAATAATAATTAGTTTTAGTTAATTTAAGCATATTTAATAAAAAGATGAAAAATACGTGCACTCATTAAATTAGTATAGAAAATTAATATAAAATAACTAAAAATATATCCTAAATAATATCAATGCAAAGTTATTTACAATTATTTGAGAATAATATATTTAATAACTAAAAAAATATTAAATGAAAATGACAAATCATAAAAACCGGCCGAAGTAATTACAATAAGACTAATTTCAAGCCTCCAAATGCATTTGTGATAAGCTAAATTCCTTTTTTATATTATAAATATTTAATTAAAAAAAAGGCTAATTACATCCGACATATGATATGAACAAATAAAACTTAGCATTTCTCTCTTTTGCTCGTCAGATTTATTATTTAATATTTATATTTTTTGTATTTTTTCTAAATTATGATCAACAGCTAATTAAGTTGTCTTTTTCGATTAAAAAATAAATTGTATAAAAAGTCTTTTTAACTGTGAAACTAATTTATTTAATTTTAAGTAAATTCAAAATTTACAATATTAATGAGTTTTTGTGATGAAGTATCGTTAACTAAATCGTGCCCATTTTTTATTATTTAATGAAAAAATCACATAGGAAGAAATACAGCATAAAAGTAAGAATAATAAGAAAAACGTACAATTCCTATAAACAAATAATATAAGTAAAAAGCTTAAAAAAAAACACATTATAATCAAAGGCTGAAACTAGGGGTGTCAATTTTTGACACGACCCGGAAAAATTCGGGTTCGGGTTGAACAAATCAACCCGTTTTAAAAATCGGGTCAGGTTCGGGTTGACCCAACAACCCGAAATTGACACGAAAAATCATATTTGACCTGAAAACCCAAGATTGACTCGTTTTTGACCGGAAAATCGAATATTGACCCGATCTTGACCCGAAAATTAGCAATTTTAGGTCAACTTCGCGTCATTCGTGACGTGTCGGGTCGGGTTGACCCGGACCCGAATCGGGTCGGATTCGGGTCTGGAAACCTGACCCGTTTTTAAAAACGGGTCGGGTTCGGGTTGACCCCAACAGCGCCGGATCAGTTCCGGGTTCGACCTGAACCCGACCCGCTGACCCGAATTGACACTCCTAGCTGAAACTATGGCTTAGAACAAAAGTTAGTCCAAAAACTCCACAGATAAAGTCCTCACTGAACCAATCGCTTAATATAAAGATATGATATCTATAAAGTAATTTTAGCAAGGATAGCATTCTTAATAAGGAATTTTTATCAGGCCAGGTGTCCGGACGTAGCTCTATATTCGGACACTAATTATATGGCGCAACGTAGCAGCTCGATAACCCAACCCAACAAAAATTCATAACAATGCAAAATAAATATGATAAAAGAGGTCAACCTTAATGAATTCGACCTGAAGTTGAGTTAAAAAATTCATCTAAAAAAACCATTAAGAGAATATGAGAAAAAATGGACCTCAACACAACCCTTGATCCTAGGAATAAAGAGGCTACGAAAGCCTTTTTGAGCCAACCTTGTGAAAAGAAAATCTCTTGAGATAGTATCAAACGTCTTATGAATATCAAGTTTTGCACAAAAATATTTCTCTTTAGCCTTACAATTACAGTCCCTCAAAATTTCAAAAGTAAGAAAAATATTATTATAAGAAATCCTCTTTTATATACACTCAGACTGATTAGGATGAATGATAAAAAAACATAATATGTTGCATATAATTAGTCAGGATTTTGGCCAGTTTTATAAAAAATATTGCATTAATGAAATTGGCCTAAAATCAATAATAAGAAAATCATGAATATTTTTAGGAATAAGAGCAATAGCAGATGCTTTTACAGCTCCAGGCATGTGACAGGTAGACAAATAATGCGAAACATCTTTGCAAAAAAAAAAAAAAAACCTAAATTAATCTCTCAAGAAATTTTAAAGAAATAAAAAATAAAGAGATATTTTTTTTTTAAAATAAAGAGATATGTGTACTAGAGAAGAAAAAAAAAAAAAAAAAAACCTAAATTAATCTCTCAAGAAATTTTAAAGAAATAAAAAATAAAGAGATATTTTTTTTTTAAAATAAAGAGATATGTGTACTAGAGAAGAAGAGGACAATCTACAACCACTCAAAATCTTAAACTAAGTATTCACACTTTAAATTAAAAATATGTAACTTTTAATCACATAAATAAAAATTATAATGCTACAAAAAAACTTTATGGCCAAAAAATTAATAAAAATATTACTTTTAATCATAAGTTTAAAATATAAAAAATTACATATAATAATTAATTACTTTTTAAAATATTATGTGGTACAATTTAAAATTTTATCAATGGGGCTAAAGTTCATGTGTGATGGTTGCTAATAGTCCTGCAGATTGAGATAGGGCTATATCAAAAATTGTAAAGGCAATAAAGTGCAAGGAAGTATTTGTTATATGCAATACACAAAAAATTAAAACAAAATATTTTAATCAATTATGAGTTCATAATCATTACATTTATTTAGAGATAAATATAAAATAATTTTTATTACTTAATAAATATTATATTGATTTTCAAATACATTTAATAATCTTAAGTCTTATTTTAATTAAATTTTTATTAGAACATTTTAACCTAATTGTTTTCTTGCATTTATTAAGTGGAAAAACAACTTCAAGTTAATTTGGAACGGCTTTCTTACTGCTTCTTAAAGCAGTTTTTTAATATAAAAATTACAAAAATTTTAATTTTTGTACTAAAAAATTATTTTAATAAGCATGAAAAAATCCGTCCCAAAAAAACCTTACATGAAATTAGTGTTTATTTGGTGGTGCATTTTTTAAATCTATTTTGCTGCAATAGAAAGCTTCAATAAAGTATGAAAATCATGCAAAAAATGTTGGGTTGTGTTCTAATAAATTAATTTTTAAAAAATTATTTATGCAGTTGAACTCATATTGCATTAATTATAAATAAATTTGAGATTCCTAATGAATTGAATTCGGGCCCTCATTTTGTCGAAGAAAAAGTTATTTATGAAATAAAGATTTGAAACTATTTTGTAAAATAACAATGTACAGTGGCTTTAAGAGCAAACTAAACAATGTACAGATGCTTTAAAATTTGTGCAATATAAATTATATATGCATATATTTATTAATCTTATGACATATTGAAGGGCTTTAAAGTCCATCCTAATTTAAATTTTAGTCACGCAATAATTTTTTTTTTTTCATTCTAACTAACTATTCACTTAATAATTTATAGT